TTGCCAAGTTGCCCAGGCGGGTCTCGCGGGCTCAGGTGATCCACTCACCTCAGCATCCCAAAGGTGGTATGCCTCTTATAGAGAGCACAGGTTGAGCCACCGAGCCCAGCTTAATGGTTTTTAAGTGTGCAGTCCAGTGGTGTCAAGTGCACGCACACTGTTGTGCAGCCATCACCCACCATTCGCTCCAGAACCCTTTTATCTTGCAAAACTCAAACTCTGTCCCCATCAGGCACTCACTCTCCCCTTTCTCCAACCCTCGCCCCGGACACCCCTCGCCCCATTCTACTTTCTGGCTCTGTGGGCTTGACGCCTCTCGGTCCCCGTCCCTCAAGTGAGCGGAATCACACGGTGTTTGTCCTTTTGTGCCTCGCTTGTCTTGCTGAGCATGATGTTCTCAAGACTCCTCGCGGGGGTGTGGGTCAGAATGTCCTTCCTTTTTGAGGCTGAAGGACATTCCGCTGGGGAGATTTCATCTGGTTTCACCCTTCAGCAGACCCCTGGGTGGCTTCCTGCCATGAACACAGGTGTACAGACATCTCCTCGACACTCTGCTCTCTACGTCTTGAGTGTGGGGGTTCTGAGTTTCCTACATTGAGAACCCGCCATGACATTTTCCACAGTGGTTGCACCACTCTGCACTCCTGCCAGCCACGTGCCAGGTTCTGATTTTTCCACATCCTTGTCGGCACTCGATGTTTTAGGTTTTTGTTACCAGCCATCCTGATGGGTGTGAGGAGCATCTCACTGTGGCTTTAGCAGGAATGATCTTTTGCACCTGTGTTGTGCTTTGCTTTATTATCCCAAAGCCCCTTGGTCTGTGCGTGGACGTCCACTGTTCTCTTGGAGGCAGGCGTTGCTCATGACACACCCCTTGGCCTGTGCTTGGACGTCCACTGTCCCCTTGGAGGGGGGCACTGGCGCATGACTCCACTGCCAGGTGTTCCATGCTGACCCCACGTCCTCCGGGCACGCGAGGCTTCCACTGCACGCTGGGTCCACTCTCACCCTCGACCTCACACAGGCTGCTTCATCTCTTCGGTCTCAGGTTCCATCCATCCATCAGAGCCACAACAACCCCTGTTGCACAAAAAGGTAAACATAGGCTGAGCTGTAGAACAGGGCCGGCCACTCAGGAAACACCCCGTAAGTGTCGGTCGTGGTTGTTACGGCTTTGCAGTCTCCTTCCTGTGGCCTGTCATGGCCTGGTCACCAGCTTAGAGCCACCGTCTCCAAATGCACATGTCTTCTTGGCAGTGCCTCTCGGGCTCCACCCTCCTTCCGCTCCGCCTCAGGCCTTCCCAGACCCGGTTGCTCACACCCACCCCTGCGAGCGTGCCCACCTCCTCCTCGCTCCCCAGGGCTTCCTGGAGAAATGCCACATTCCTGTTCCTAAGTCACTTTCAACGTATTTTTCCCTGGCTTCAAAAGCTACTGTGGCTCCTGGTAACCAGTTATGTCTGCTGCCTGGTGTTCCTGTTTTTATTTACGGGTTTCAGTTTTAATTTGTTGGAGGATAGTATGCCTCTTATAGAGAGCACATAGCTTAAGTTCACTGGAGTTCTACGTATGCATGCACCGAGTAACTGTCACCCGGATCAGAACATTCCAGACTGAAGAAGGACCCTGTGCCCTTCCAGCGAGGCACACCACTCCCCCCAGACACTGTCCTGGCTATTCCCACACTCCTTGCATGGAATCAAGAGCATTCTGACCACCTCCCCCCAAAATCCCTTTTGCTTTTCTATGGTCAATAGCCTTTCCCAGACTGCCCCAGACAAACCACCGTACTTTCTGGCTCTATCATTTTGCCGTTTCCAGTGTTTCATATAAATGGAATTTCAGTGTAAGATCTTTCATGTCTGCCTTCCTTCACCTGCATAATGCTCCGGGGGTTTCCCGAGTTGTTGCATGTCAATGCTGGTAGGAATGCAGAGTGGCACAGGTACTTAGGGAAGCAGGTAGGCCATACAAAGTGAAATACAAATCTGCCATATGAGCCAGCAACGAAAACTTATGTCCACAGTGTATCCGTGTTCACAGCAGCATTATTTGTAATAGACTCAAACTGCAGCCCAGTTGTCCATCAACTGGTAAACAGATAAGCACTTTTGTACATGCATGCTGCTCATACTATCCAGCAACAAGAAGGAATGGACTGAAGTGAACCACAGCTACAAGCCACAACAGGGGCTAGTTTCTTGCTTTATTTTAACAATAATTATTTTTGCTTTATTAAGACAATAGATGCTTATTATACTAAGTCAAGTAAGATCGAGGTATAGAAAGAAAAGATAAAAGTAACTACTGTTCATGGCTTGCCACATTATTTTGTATTTACACATGGATACACACACACACACACACACACACACACACACACACACACACACACACACACCAGCTCTCCTTTTATGTTACACATGGGAATTGGACCACACCCATGACTCCACAATTTCCTTTTTTCCTGAATGACAATGACTCCTTCTTGAATTAAGGAGGTAGCTTTGGGTCTCCGTCCTTGTTCACAGCCACCCGTCACTCTGGCTACAGGATCCCACCGCTGATTCTGGGCTTGCTTTGTTTTGCGGGTCGGCAGCACTGTGGACTCTGCCAGCCCTGCATGCTCCTGTGCGGGGCTGACTTTCGAAGGAGTGCAGGGGACTTTGGAGGGTCACACTCTAATGTGTGGTTGAGGACAGCGGCCTGTTCTTCACAACTCTGCAGCGCCGAGTGTTATTTATGCCGTCCATTTTTACCAGTTTTGTCATCAAGACAATAGTTGTTGTTCTCCTTTGAAGGTTTTTTTGTGTGCAGAAAGGTGAACACCTTTTCACACCTGCTTGCCGCTGGTTTCATTTGCTTTTTTTGTGAGTTGCCTGTTCACATCACTCACCCATTTTTCTATTGAGTTGCTTATTTATTTAAAAAATCAATTTGTAGGTGTTTTCTGCATATTTTATATGTGCAAGAAAGATTCTGCCAAGCCATTTAAAAAATGTTTATTACAGTGCATCTGTCGATCATTCCATCATGACTTGTAGTTTTTCTGTCTTTTTTCAGAAAATCAGCCTCACTGTAGATCAAACTGATTGTCTGGTATTTTCATCTATCCTACTTTTTATATTTGGGTTTTTAATTCACCTGTATTAAGATACCCAATTAGGTCAAAGTCTCCTGCTATATTGAAATGTTACCTGATGGTGCGTTCAGTTACCACATGTGCTTGGTTGTCTCTGAACCTTTGGCTTCAGTCCATCATGCTTTTTCCCCACGTGCTGTAACCTGCCGCTTGGACTTTGGTGGCGTTGTGGTCATGTGTGCTACTTGCAAGCCATGCTACCCCTTGCTATTTTTTCTTGTTGGTTTTGAAAATTTTCTTCACAATTTTCAACATTTCTTATGCACTCTGACATACTATTAGGTATAAAAAGACCGCATTAGGATTATAATTATAATTGAATTAATAGATTTATTAATTGAGGGGGAATTTGCTTTTTTTATTTTAGAGACAGGTCCTCACTCTGTCACCCAGACTGGAACGCAGTGGCACAACCATAGCTCACTGTAGTTTCCATTTTCTGGACTCAAGTGACCCTCTTACCTCAGCCGCCTGAGTAAGCTGGGACTCCAGGTGTGTACCATCACGCCTGGCCACTTTTTAATTTTTTTAATTTTTTGTAGAAATGGGTTGCCCAGGCTGGTCTTGAGCTCCTGGGTTCAAGTGATCCTCCTACCTCAGCCTCCCAAAGTGCTGAGATCCCGGGCATGAGCCACCATACCTGGCCAGAATGTGCATGTTTAATAATGTTCCGTCCTTACAACTGGGGATGCGGTGTGAATCTCCACGTATTCAGGTCTTGCCTTAGGACTCTCAAGAAACTGTTCTGCTGTTCTTCACGCGGGTGGGCCCTGCCTTGCCCCTGCATCTGAGCAGTCTTGCCGGGATGTGCTTCTCTCCCCAGCCAATTCCACTTCTCCTGTTTCTTTGGACATGGCCAGGCCCTCATATTTGTCCTGGTAGTTCTTATTCCTTAAGTCACCTTGAGAAGGGCTTCTGGGCCCATGTGTATGCTATGGCTACGCTGCTGCTTCCTTGGGGTCCCCAGGCAGGTCCTTCCCCAAGCCTCCCCCCTTCTGTCCACTGCAGCTCCCTCTGGTGTCCCCAGTCCTCCCGAGCCCAGTGGAGCCTTCCCACCATTGCTGTGTGCTTGGCTTCCCCCCTTCAAGCTTCCTCAGCCTCCAGGCCTCCACTCCTAAGGAAGCCCCACCTTGGGGTGGCAGGAAGGTGGTAGGTGTGGCACTGACCTCGGCATCCTTCCTAACAGAGCACCTGGCCAAAACCAGCGGGGGCGGGGGAGAGGGGGCTGGACTGGGTGCAGAGCTACTCTCCAGCTCCCACCCAACGCCGGACAGTCCAGATGGCCTTCCTCCAAGGCCTTGGCACATCAGGCAGCGATCACCTGGACCCCCTGTGTCACTCCTTGTCACTCTGCGCATGCAGCCCCATTTTCTACTGTCACAGAGGGTCCAGTTCAGGGTGGTGTGGCCTTGGCCAGTGATGGGAGCTCTCCAGGCCTCCAGAGGAGAGAGCAGTGGGCAGGAACAGAGTGTTCACACCCAGGATTAGGGCCACGTTGCATCTCCTGCTGTTGTGAAATCAAGCGTGATGCCCAGTGCTGCGCGGCTCGCCGGTGCTGGCGCTCAGGGCCCGTGGGATGTGCATTTGTGCTCTGGGGCGGTGCTCGGGCACCCGGTTGGGGGCAGGCAGGTGTGTTCAGGGCTCTTCTCCAGAGCATTCAGCCGAGGCCCCCCACTCTTGGAGCTCCCCCAGAGAGGCAGGAGGGGAGGGGGAGGCTGGGACAGACTCCCGCAGCGCCCCACGCCCAGGGATGGCTCGTGGAGGCGGGGTCTGCCGCAGAGTTGGGGGCGTGGTCGTTGCTGACATCAGCGCTGCTGGCCGACACGGAATAAACCGGCGTCTCTCTCTTGCCTTGCAGGTGTGCGGCCTGACCGCCCGGGCTCTCCTCCCGGCCCCGCCGGGGCCTCTCCTGGGCCTCGCCGACCCTGGACTTCTGGGGCTTTCTGTGCCCGCCTCTGCGGTGACAGCCTCCCCGCTGCCCCCAGGCTGCCCTCCCTGCCAGGGCCCTGCTCCACCGCGGAGCACCCGCGTTTTCCACCCGCCTCCCGCTTTCCTGACGGCCTTTCTGATGAGGGCCTGGTGACTCCTTCCCTGATATTAAAGACACTTTTTTAAAAAGTAGGCCCATGTGTCTGCGAGTATTTATTTCCAAGGGTTTGTACTTCGGCTTCTCGTGCTCCGTATTGCTCATCTTCTAGCATTTGTTTGCAAATCATCGACATCTGTCGTCGTCTTATGAGGGCTTAAAACGAAGTGTGGACGAGGGAGGACGTTTTGGGCAGCAAAGTGGACCTCCAAAAGACGCAGGTGTGTGGGGCCCCAGACCCTCCTGCGCCCACTGGCTGCCTGGCTTGGGGCCGCCCCCGGCCTGTCCAGTCCCTTCAGGGGCAGGGCAAGTGCTCCCAGGAGGCCCCAGCTGCGGGGGGCTGAGGGGGCACTGCCCGCACAGTTTGGTGTGGGATGGGAGGGTCCTGATTGCTCTTCTCTGCTCTGGGTCTCCCAGAGAGTTTCTGCAGAATTTCTGAGTCTCGCAGAGAATGTGTGGATTCCTAGCGTGGGGGCCGATGCCGCCGTCACACCACGGCAGGGGGTCTTTTATTCAGGAATCAGGGCCACGTGGCTTAGGCTCCTTGGGTTAAACAGCTTCTGGTATTCGTAATGATGACCATTTTACTATATTGTGCTTGGCTTTGTTGGCGTCTCTGTGATGGAAAATAGGAACATTCGTTTGCCTTTTATGTCTACCGTGAACTTCCAGGGTATGTGCACCACAGTGGAGGTTTCTAGAGGCCTTCCATGTGTACGTGTGTGTCCGTGTGTGTGCATGGTGGAAACAGGTGGCCATGAGGAGGACACGGGGTCACCTGTCACCGCATATGTCCATGTGCACGCGTATACCTGTGTGTTTATACATGCGTGAAATCTATCTGGGATGGTGTGTTGGCCTCCAGCGGCTGGATCTCTTCTATCCGTTCTGAAGGACCCATGTGCACGCAGCTTTGACTTGGGTATTGTGTGCCATAAGGGACATGCTTATAGAATACACAAGGGTCTTAGCCTGTTTCCTGGCTCACAGCTCCCAAAGCCCTTGGAATTTCCAAAACCATATCTTTTTCTGGACTAATGAGATGACTGGTGGCTCAAGGTCCCTAGGAAGCTTCAGGATGGGCTGGTCACCAGAAACCCAAGGCAAGATTAGAGGGGCGGAGCATTCAGCTCCACCTCCAAGCTCCAGGGAGACTGAGCTGGTCACCAGTGGCCAACGATGTAGTCAGTCGTGCCTTCGTAATGAAGCCTCCATAAAAACCTGGTAGGACAGGGCTTGGAGAGTCTGGACAGCAGAACAGATGCGGGTTCCTGAGGAGTGCTCCAGGGAGGGGACAGATGCCCCGCCCCTCCCCCAGGCCCTACCCTACGCATCTCTTCATCAGCATCCTTTGTAATATTCTTTATCATAAGTCAGTTATGTGTTTTCTTGAGTTCCGTGAGCCGCTTTAGTCAATTAATCAAATTCAAGAAGGGGATGATTACGGGAACTTTGATGGATAGCCAGTCAGTCGAAAGCACAGGTGAAACCACCTGGGGCTTGCAGTTGACTCCAAAAGTGGGGCGTAGTCTTGGGACCGAGCCCTCACCCTGTGGGGTCTGACATATCTCCAGGTAGGGAGCGTTGGGGTTGAACTGGGGGACACCCTGATGGTGTCAGCTGCAGAGGTGACTGCTTACCTGAGTGTGGAGTGGGAGCAGAGAACAGGCAGCTTGTTTTTTTCCTTGGAGATATTGATGATGGCGGCATTGATAGTTAATTGGTATTTGCCCCACACCTGGCTCTCGTAATGCTGAGATTTGTGGATTCATAGATGATGTCACTTAACCTCATGGAAAGCCCCCGAGGTAGGTTTGATTGTGAATTCCTCATGCAGACCCAGGCATGGTGGTGGGGCAGAAGCCCCCGTGTGTAAACCCAGGACCCTGTAAGTACAGAAACTTCATCTGTATTTATGGTCACTCCCCATTGCTTGCATGACCACCTGAGCTCTGCCTCCTGGGCGCAGAGGGGCAAGGGTCTTCTTGAGGAAGGGACAGTATGTTGACTCCTGGCCAGGTAGAGGCACTGGATGGCATTTCCATGGCTCTCACACAGGGGCTGTGTTACGGATCCTGGCGTGTTAAGAACCGGGCGGCACACCAGGAGGTGAGTTACAGCTGCTCCATCACTCGTGTGATCGCTGGGGCTTCGTCTGCTGTCAGGTCAGCAGAGGCACTAGATTCTCATGGGAGCGTGGACCCTATAGTGAACTGCGCATGCAGAGGCTCTGGGTTGCGTGCTCCTTATGAGAACCTAAGGCCCAATGGCTGACACATTTCCCCCATGGGAAAGTTGTCTTCCATGAAACGGGTCCCTGTATGGGGGGGGTGGATGCCCCCGGGTCCTTATTTTGCAGAGTCAGTATGCGTCTTTGAGCAGTGACTTCAGCGTTGCCTTCCTGGGTCTGTTTCCCAGGAAAGCCTTGCAGGAAGCTGAGTTAGGCAGAAACACCGGCTGAAGCCCTGTTAGACCGCTGTGTAGAAACAATTCAGACAACATGTCTGGGAGTCTGAGGATTCCCCCTTGGGGCTGCGTTCGAAACCCTCTGCTGTCACTCTAGTGGTCTTCGAGACCCTCATCTGTCCCCTTGCAGGCTCTTGCGGGAAAGGTCTTCTGGGCACGCTTCTCCCTGCCTTGGTGGGCACAGGACGTGCTCACGGAGACTCGCTGAGTTCAGCAGCATGAAGCAGAAGCCCTGGACCCTCGGCCCGAGTCCCGGCCCCAGGCAGGACTGCAGCAGCCTCCGCCCCCTGCCCTGCTGCGATGGGAGCATCCAGCTCTAGGCACGTGACCTTCCCGGCCCACAGTGCCCGAACTCCTTGGTCCGGGCCCTGAGAACCCCTCTACGGGCCGGCGCCCTTCACCTCCCTCCACCACCTCCCAGCCTCCTGCTCTCCTCCACCCCCGTCCCCTGCGCTGCCTTCACTCCCAAGCACCGCCTCTGCCCCGTGGGCTCTTGCTGATTCCACAGCCGTCTCCGGTCTCTGTTCGACCTTGGCCAAAATTAGGCTTAGGGCTGTGGCTCCCCACCTCCTAGGCAAGATGCTCCCGTGTCCCCAAGCCCACGGCCGAAGCACCCCCAGCTTGCGAAGACCTCTCGCCGTGCCCTGCGTGTCCGGACTGCCTGGCCGCCCCTCTGCTCCCTCCTGGCGGTGCAACGTGCGCCCCTCCTCCCCCTCCATCTTCACGTAAGGCCCCCCTTTCTCCTCTGGGCAGGCCCCTGCCATCCACGCGGGCACCCAACTCACAGCGGCGGTCCCTCCCGTTCCAGCCCTCCCCGCTGGGACTTCCTATGTGCTGCCTTCTTCGCTCACATGGCATCGGCCTCTTGCCCCTTAGGATTTCGACTCCACACGCTGCTCCTGTGACATCTGTGGCCTGGTGCTTGAACCCATCCCCGTTCTCATCCCTTCTCTGCGTGGTCTTCTCCATCACAGAGCCCAGGGGCCAGGGGTTCCTTCATGCTGTGACATGGGCCCTGCCTCCAGGCCTTGCTGTGGCCGCTGGTTTGCTTAAGGGCTGAGAAACGCTGAAAACAACAGCAGCTGGCCAGAAGTGGGAAGATCTAAGATGCCGGAGAGCAGCCACAGAGCCCCTGGGCTGGAGTAACCAGGGGCTGCCATGGGGGGACAGAGGGTCCAGATGTGGAAACTCCGCCCTCAGGGCTACAGAGAACCCCACCCAAGCCTAGGAAGGGAGACACTGGCTCAGCCGCCTCCCCTGAAGGACCAGGACTTCCAGGAGGAGGTGCGGCCCCTGGATCCTTTGTGTATGCCCAGGATGTAAACCTGCCCACATTGCCAATAGAGCACCTGTTGGCTGATCCGTAAAGGCGACTCCTGAGGTATGGGGTCCAGGGCCAGCCACTTTCCTGAAGAAGGTCACATGCTTGCAGGTGAGGGCAGCTGGGGAGCGAGGGGTCAGTCGGTGAGTTGCGCTTGGTGGCCCCCTGCGGTGGCAGCTGAGACCTTACTTTGGCTCCATGTTACCGGTGGAGATATTCGGGTCCAGGGGAATTAAGTCGTTTTCTCCAGGGAGCACAGCTAGGGAGACCCAAGTGGACTTTGCACAGAGCCTCACTCTGCCACTGGCCAGCGCTGGTGTCCCAGGTATTCTGCCCTGCCCTGCCAGGAGAGTGTGGGGATCCCAGGAGACTGCTGAGAAAATCGATAGAAGTCAAGTAGGACTCCATGGTATGACATCACAGCGCAAAGGCTAGGGGGCGCTTTTAAGGGCTTTTGTGAGACATGATTGACATAGAACGGACTCTGTGTTTTAACCCATTTCCCGTTTAGGAAAACAGAAGTGCAGCTCACTGCTGTGCTCACTTGATTTTATATAAACACACTCTTTGAGGCTGAAGAAATCTGACTGGCTTTCAGTGTAAAAGTAAAATATAAAAACCATTCTTGGAGTTATTTCTAAACAGAACTTGTCTCTAATCCTAATAAGGATTACTAAAAAAAAAAAAGAGAGAGAGAGAATTACTATATTTTGCAAATGGAAATACAACTACTGAAAACAGAACGTTATCGATAGAATGATGTCATTTGTTTCCAAAGACTTGATATACTAGAGTGATGTGAAAATAAGAATAAAAGCGAGATGTTTTGCAGCAAGCCTTGGGGTGAGTCAGGACTGGGGTCCACACGGTATCTCGGGATAAACGCTGCAGCCTCGAGTGCCACTGGGGAATGTTTTCGGGGCAGACGGGGAGAGGGTTAAATGCCTACAGTGTGCTGAGGTTTGGCGTGTGTCGCCACCACCATACCCTAGTGGAAGAGGGTCTTCACACGCCCAAGAGGCTCCTGTTCCCCACTTCCCGCCGCCTCCTGGAAAGCCTGGTGCTGCCGCTGCCCTGTAGACACATCTGCACTTCCGAGTTTTCTGCGTCCATGGCTCCCACAGCCCCTTGCCCCACTGGCCGCCCTTGCCATCGTGGCGTGTCGGGGGCCCTTCCTGCCGACCTCTCTTCCCTCGTTGGCCTGTCTGCTGATCCGCTCCAGGCAGAGGCTGGGAGGCTGTGGCCCCT